ATTGGTTGAAATAAGGCAGAATTTTAGCCTTTTAAATTTTCGAAATTTCTGCAAAATTCCAGGCTCCGAATAGAGTGGATATTATGACTTTTAAATCCACAGATATTTCATTATGGACTATGAGGGTTATGGCCTCTAAACTTGGCCTGGATTCACGTAGAGCACTTTATTGTTGTCTAAGCCTACTGGTATTTATAAAGCTTAGATCTATATCAGAAAATATGTAATCAGGGTCCCGGCCCTGAAGTAGTGGATATTATGAGTTCAGAACCCAACATTTTTTAATCTGGATAAGCAAGTGTATGTGTACTGTTCGGTCTAGATCCATCCATTCATACAGTAGCCAATTTTTAAAATTATATTGATATAACTCATAAAAAAAAAAAAAAAAAGAAAGGGGGGGGGGGGGGGGCCTCCAGCACTCAATAGGTATATTCTTTTTAAAAATTCTTAACCAACCAGTATTGAAGTATTTGTGGGTCAAGCGTGTAGAAACGTATGCTGAACAAACGAATTCAGAAATAAACAATCAAATTTTCATTCTTTTACTTTAGTTACTTGAGTTCATGTTTTGTCAAGAAACTTAGTAGATGGGAAGTTCACGCATTGCTGCCGCCAACGTGTGGTGGGATATATCTAGTAGTTAAAATACTGTTTTATGTGTTTGGGGATGTGGGCGGCATGTGAAGTTGAAATCGTTCAAGTTTTCAACTAAATTTACAACTACAACAATGACAAATGTCACTAAGCTCAAAACAAAACAACAAAGATCTGACGTCACATATTTTAAAGGTTTATTTTTATGCTGGAGAAAAGAATCGAAGGAACTTATGAATGACGTAATGAATTACCTTATAATGTACTCTCAATGCATGAGATACTAATTGAGATAAATCACATTGGAATTTTTTTTATAATTGTATGCAATATTCCCCACATTTTTGCTTTGTATGCGAAACATGTGTTTAAAATACGCACCAAAACTTGTCTTGAATGAAAAATGAGCTCAAGCAGGCGAAATTGAGAATTTTATAATAAAAAGAATAGTTTAACCTGACATGAGCTCTTTATCATGACAGTAAGAAACAAATATATAGACACTGATTATGTTGCTTGTTTTTTTTTTAATATAATGTGATTATTAAAGAGTATTTCTTTTTTAACTAACTAAAGTTAGAACTGTAGAGTGCAACTGACTTGTTACAGTTAACAGTAACTGTTACCAATTGAAAGTTGCTATCTTTGACCTTCACCGCCCCAGAACTGGTAAAATCGCTTTGAAAAAGAAAAAAAAATCATGACAAAATGTATTTATAATATAAAGATAAATCTGATGATTTAAAATTATCGGTGACTTATTCAATGTCAAGGTCAATAGACATCTTCTCTAAATCACGACTCTGGACACATTCTTTTTAATTTTTATAAATGTTGTTTTATGTTTGTTGCAGTATTTCTATTTCTTTTTGACTCGTGTGGCCCACTGGTCGGCAAATCGCGACTCGGGAGCCGCATGCGACTCTTTAGCGACCTGAGTGCGGCTCGGCAAGTCGGCCACAAATCGTCTTTGACTCCACAAAAAAACATGGTTCTTGGCAGAGTGTTGAAAAGAAATTAAGCTCTCAAAATGGTTTAATCGTCCTGCTGGTGATTGTGTGGCTCTTTTTACTTATGAGTTTTCCGACCACTGGTGTAGGCGAAAGGTGGGTCGGACCTGACACTGAATACAGACTAGCGTCAGCATCACATGTCCAGTATGCGTCAATATGAGAACCTGTGGACATGGGCACCACTCAAACGGAGATGGGACCATTGATATAAAAATTATTCAACTGTATAGAAGGATAATTAAATTTAAAGTTGATTTCAACAATGTTGAAAATTTAATTTCAAGAACTTTTAAGTGTATAATGAGTTTAAATAGATTGATATCAACTGTTATATACCAGATGGATATATAGAGTTTAAAAAATTGTGTATGATCTCTCATATACCAGAGGGGCCACCTAAAACTGGTACGTCTCTGTGTCATCAGAAGTGTGTTAAAGTCGTGATCGCCTGTTTAAATCGATGGTTGTGCAACCATCCATGTAGGGAATGTGTACCGGCTTTATCTGGCCCGCCCTGTATAGTGGAGCGTTGGGTGACACGCGTTAACTTAGCTCCACACGTTGTGTGTGTGTGGATTAGGAAGATCAGCGGGTGAGTGGATCTGTGTTTGAGTCATTCATTGACCCAATACTTCCATAGTTGAATTGTTCCACACCTTGGCTACAAGTAAAGCAAAATAACATTAACAACTTAATTGTAACATAACGTCTTTCGGCCAATGTATGGGGGCTTTTATGGGGTGGGTAGGCTTTATGGGGTCGGGGGGGGGCTTTGTCTGAGATGGGCATTTAATGGGGTGGGGGCTT